CCTCATCTTTCCACCTTTACAAGGTCTGCTTCCTTTTTAGGAGCTCTACTTTTTTTTTCCTATGGTTATTCCCAGTCTCCCTAACCCCCCACTCCCCACACACACATGATCCTATTACATAGGACCTTCTTCTGAGCTAGAGGCCAGATAAACATTCTGTGTGAAGGTGTTAGCTTATGACAGCTTAAAGCATTTCCTCTCTCTAGCAAATGTGCAAAGGGAATCACTGAAAAAAAAAATTTAAAAAACCTTTAGGAACCAAAAAAATAAGTTGCTGATAAAATTCTAGGGACCTGGGGAAGAGGTAGAGACGAAAGTAAATTTTTAGAGCAGGGGTTCTATTGATCACCCCTTAAGCTTCAGCATTGAGGCTGCTGCTGATTGTAAGTATTTCTAACACTGAGCTTCCCTAAGGAGGTGTAAGCACATCCCCTCAGCCTTGTCCTTGAGTGGTTTTGGGATTGGATGGGGTGAACATGAGCAAGAAGTGTTTGAGTGCCTGTGCTTTTCAGTTGCCCCTGCAGCACTGACAGGTTTTTGGCCATTTCACTCCTATTAACAGGCTCCCTCACTAGACGCAGGGGCTTACGGGCCAACTCTGCCAGTCTCCTTGGCATTATCTAAGTCACTGCAGTTCCATGAAAAGGTAAGGGAAGATATAAATCAATAAAGGTTTAGATTCATATTTTTTTTCAATTCCCAACCCTAAATCTGATGCTAAGCAGCACAAAATAGTAGGAAAGTCTTGAAGTCAAAAGACTGGGGCTCTGAGCGACTTCCTTGTTAGTAAACTGTAATCTTTGGGAAATCTCTCGACATCTCTGAATTTCCATGTCAAACTATCTAATGGGTAATGTGTAGAGGTCCTATTTACCATATAAGAATGTAGTGAAGATCAATGAGATACTAAAGGTAAAAATGTTTTTAAAAACATTAAATGCTATATAAAGTTATGAATTTAAACTTATCTATTGTAAAACATATGACCATATAGATGACATCAAAAAGCACTGGATGTATTTGTTAATTCCCCTTTGTGTCAGAGACTAATAGTTTCATCAGTATTAATTTTTACATTATTTCATTAAATAATAGGACCTTCATATCAAGGCACATAGCAACCAATAATAAAGACATTTCATGCCTTTCTTTGCTAAATGTAGCTAATGGCTAGGTGCTAGCCCATAAGATGTGGCTATAAGTGATACGTGCAACTTCCTTCCATGTCCCCTCTTTGTTGTCTTAAATGTAGATGAGATGGGAGGAGCTGCAGCAGCCATCTTGGGCCAGGAGATGGAATCTGCACATTATGACAAGAGAGCAAGAGAGTGCCTCGGTTTCTGGTAATGTCACACACCAGTTATCCAACCAGTTTGTCTTTTAAGCGAGAGAACAATTCTTCCATCTTATTGAAGTCACTAACATTTTGAGTTTCTTTGTTAAATCAGCCAAATGGAAAACCTATCCAATAAACTACTTATAGTTATTATTTTTATGATCTATGCTCACCTCACCTCCTTGCTAGGTCTATCTGGTAGACCTTCTCTCCCATACTATATACTATCTCTAGACAGACTTTTGAACAAATCCTCATTTTTCAAACCATTGATCAAACTATTTGTGACAGTTACCTCCTTTAGATGATAAAAAAAACTTGTTTTTTTTATAAATTTAACAGCACATGTGATATCTTTAACTGCTGCTTAAAGCTAATTGCTAATGATATTAATTATTATAAAGGGGATCCGGATAATTCTCAGGGCAGGTTTTCCCCAGTTACCAAGAGGAGGCTGCCAATAAATGAGGAGGCAGAATAGCCTCCTTAGTCCTTAATAATGATAACAATAATTTAAACATACACAGATACACACACAGACACCTCATCCCAGTCTCATTACTGGGGCTGCCATTGCTGAGAGAAGGAAGGGAATGTCTACCTCAGAGCTGCAGGAGTCAACAGGATGTGGCACTCCCTGGGGAATTCTCTGTCTCTCTCTCTCTCTCTCTCTCTCTCTCTCTCTCTCTCTCTCTTTTAACACTAATGTATCTGGAATTGATTTGGTTTGGGATCTGAAGGCCGACAACTTCCCCTGGATCCTTAGGCCCACATGCCTTTTATTGGCATCGCTTCCCCGAGCTTCACTCAGCATGTAGGTGTGCAGTCAATTTTCAGAGAACAAACCGCATCCTCACCTCTTCGTTTCTATCAACATAGGACCCCAGGGATATGACAAGTGTGCTGCTTTAGAATGAAATGATATGAAGAAGAAAGCCCTTGTCGGTCTTTTTAATTTGCTCAGCACTGGCCTCGGGCCAACACGAAGAGATGGTTTCTCCTCTGAACATCCTGATAGCTGGTCTCCAGTGGAGCACCATACATCACGCCTTTAGCAGCAAGGCCATGAACGCTTTTTGATATCAATCCCGAGGTGCCTAAGGAGCAGTGTGAAGTTAGCAGAGGCTGCCTCCAAGTCTCAGCTATGCACGAATTCCCTGCCAAAATTTTAAAGTGAGTTTAAAGGAAACAACCTGAATGCTTTCGAACTTGGTTTGATTTTCCACATGACAAAAGACTAGATTATCATCGTGGGGTGTGTGTGTGTGTGTGTGTGTGTGTGTGTGTGTGTGTGTGTGAGTGACAATAGCAGGCAGAGGGTAATTTGCAGACCTGCCATCTGCCATCCTGGGCAGAACATTAGATGTTAACATCAAAATGTGAAGAGAGAGCGAGCTTCTCATTAATCCCAGCTGCAATCTCCTTCCCTCCCTACCTTAGGAACAAATCATCAGAAAAGAAAACATTAATATTTTGTGAGCCTAATCTCCACCAAATAATGAGCAATTTTTACTTGGCCCCTTTAACTCACCCTCATGAATGGCTGACAAAGTAAAATTGCCTAAAAAGTCATCAATCTCTCAGTTTATTGATGTGGAGAGGCTGGACTCACCCAAGGCCCCATGGCTCTGGGTCACTGCCACCTTGGTGCTGTCCCAGTTGTGTGACCCATAGGGGATAGAGGCATATACTTCTGGGCAGTAATGGCTGGATTCTTGCATGATTGGCTGAAAGCTTTTATCCCATATGGAAATCACGATGGAGTCCAAAGAGACTGCACTTTGCAGTCAGCCAGACCTAGCATACAAGTCAGGAGAAAGCTACATTTTGTCAGTGGGTTTCACTTTATTCACCTATGTAATTGGGACTAATAATATATACCTGGTTGTGAATAGATTTAAAGTATAAAAAGGGCCTCCCACAGTTCCTGGCAAAAGGGAGGTCCCCCAAAATGCCTTCCATCACATGACAGATGAAGCCAAGGGTCGTGAGAGAAGAGTCTATGTGATTTTTCTAGGCCTCCCTTTGATGGAAGCACCAGGCTTCCCTCCGTGCAGGCAGTCGATCCATGAATGCCTCTGGGTTGATTGACTCTCAACCCCAGAGAGAGTATTCCGGAGGATGAGATGTGGCTTATACAAAGCTGGCTTAAACATCAAACATGTTGGATATCAATGAAGTAGGCTTTTCAATCTGATTTAGGAGTTTCACTCATTTTGCCTTCAGCTCCTTGAGGGGATTGATCAGACAAATCTATTGTGAAACTTACTACTCACTCTGATCCTCCTAACTGATTGGTAGGTAGGCAAGGGATCTCCATGTCCTCTCCCATACTTCTCCCCTTATTATTCAAAAGCATGGTGTTATCATAGTTGTGATTGGGAAAAGGTGAAAATAAGAAACATTCAGCAATGCTGTGCATTTTGGGGGGTTCAGTTTTATACACTCCAGCCAGCGCCAGCTGTAGCCAGAATCTAACAACAGGCAAAGACCATGTGGGGAGGAAAAAGTTATCTGGCTAGAAATATTTAAGATTTGGGGAGGTAGAGTCTTTTTAAACTCCCAGGATAATCGCACCATTATGTTCTGTATCTCCTGGCCTAAATCAAAATTATTATTTATTTAAGGACCTCAAATATGTTTTATATACCTGATAGCTACCGTAAGCTCGTATTCTTCAAGCCAAATTCTTTTCAAATGTCTTTCCCTCTGTGATAGTAGAATTTCAGACCTGGCAGTACCATATCAGAGAAGATGACTGTTCCAAAGAGATAAAACTTGGAAATGTTCTTTAAAAAAAACATACACCTGAGGTCTGTAGCCAGTTTGGAAATGGTAGGCATGTATCTACCCTCCAGCTTCCCCCCAGCCCCCCTTATCATTCATTCCTTACATTGAAAATACAACTTGGTAAAGAGTTCTCTCCATAGGCATTAGTTAATAAGACATTTTCTCCCAAATGCCCCTACCAACGTTCATTTCTCAGGGGCCACAGGCACCCGGACCTGAATCCACTTGCAGTTCCCTAAAATGTGGGGAAGGAAACATGGCTCAGGGCTGGGATGCAGGGCTTTGTCGGATGTGCATCTCTAGTGATGGTCAATAGTAGGATAATCTTGTTTTAAAAGACGGCAACAAAACACATTTCTCTTCTTCTGATTTAAACCCCATTCAAACAGAGTTCAAAGATGACAGCCAACAGCAAAGTAAGAGTTGGCCTAAAACCTTATCAAAGGGCTGAAAGGGACTTCTTTCTCTCTCTCTCTTGAAACCAACCAATATTTCCATTACAGAGACAGTATGAAACAGACCAGTTTCAGCAGAACATCCAAGCCACGGTTTGGCTTTTCATGTCTGCCTCTGGGGGTCCAGTCACCCAGAGTGTCACCTGCGCTGTGCCAAGGAGATTGCAAGGACACTGTTTCCTTTTTGGTGCTTCTCTCCTTGACCTTCCGAAGCGGTGTATCCTGGATGCATTCCTACCCTCCTCCATATCACAGATTGGCAAACGTCAGGAAGTAAAGAACAAGACCGACCCTCTCCAGCTGGATAAAGGTGAAGGAAAAGAGGAAGCAGGTGTCCACCTCCGGCCACATACAGCCAGATGCCCTCAGAATGGCCCAAGAGTCTCCAAGGTAACGCCACAGGGAGGAGAGGCAGGGGGTCACCATCTCACCACCTGACTGTTGTAGTCCTCGGTGACGGCCCCCTCTGTGTTCCCATCCTCTTTGGGCCACCGGTGGCTCCTCGACTCCCGCTGCAGCCTCCGCTCCTCCCTCCTCTTTTGCCGGTCCCTCTGGTGCTCCAGCTGCTTGGTGTGGTGGTAGCGCTGCTGGAAGAGATCTTTTGCGTACTCATAAAGCTGCATGTCCAGGAAGTTGAGCTCCTCAATGCGCTGGCGAGCACCGTCATTGATCTCCACATTGGAAGCCCGCGTGATGTTGAACTGTGTGAAGGGAGAGATGAACTTGAGGTTGAATGTCCTCTCAAAGAGAAACTGCGTCTTCCTCTGGAATTCTGTGAGCCCAAAGAAGGCCATGTTCTTCAGGTTGTTTTTCGCGCTCTGCAACAGGATGGTGTTTCTTTCGCTCTCATTCATGAAAGTCAAGTTGTAGCAGCCCACCAGGCTGAGGTCCGCCAGCATGCGCACCTGGCGGTTGTTGGCCAGGTTGTAGGTGCAGTCCATGAACTCTCGCAAGCTCACCCCAGACCAGTCATCCCCCGGGTAGCAGGTAGGTAGCTCATCGGGGGTGGGGCTTCTCCCATCACACATGTGGAGGGAGGTTTTCCACGTGGCTCCTCTCTGGACATGCTTCCACTCGCTCAGGTAACGGGACACTGGATCACGCAACATTGTGATGTAATAGAAATTCCTGGAAGAAATTAAAGGAAGAGTGTCAGTCATTGACAACTATAACTCTGGGATTCTGAACCTTTGCAGTCAATGGCTCTTCTGCCAGATGTTCATGTGAGCGTGTTTTCTGGGATTTGCATTGATCAGGCAAATGTTCCCATGTGTGCGTATTTCCATAAGCACATGTGAACCAGTTTTCAATATTAAGTTTGCTGGGCTTTTCCTCCCTGCTCCAGTGTGGGGAGGGAGAAGTGGGGGAATAGATCATTCATTCATTCAGCAGTTATTCACTGATAAATTACTACCGGCAATTACAATAGCTTACATTAAGAGGACACATCATGATATTTGAAATTTATTACCAATCCAATATCTATTTGATTCTTACAATAGACTTTTGTAGTAGACATGAGACTATTTGTTAGGGAACCATGCAAAGAGGTGAAGTGATTTGTCCAAGGTCATGGGCGTAGAAAGGGCAAAGCTGGAAGCCAAGGCTTCTGTTTTCCTGTTTACACTGCTGTTCTAGATTACAAGGGAGGTGGGGTTGGGAAGGATGAGCTGTGTGTGAAGACTAATATTTACTGAGCAACTATTAGGTGCTAGAAACTGTACTAGGTATTTTATGGATACTGGCACAGATAATCCTGAACACAACTTTGTAAAATGAGATTTTTTAAAAATGAAACTGAGAATACAGAGACTGAAAAAGGTGAAAAATGTAGCCCAAGGTCCTAGAGCAAGTTAATAACTGAACTGCAATAGAATCTAGGCCTCTTTAATTTCATAGCCCCTGTGCTTTCCTGTGCACTAGACTGATATTTTAAAAACAAAAATGCAACAAATATTTAGTGAATGCGATTAATTGTCAGGTGCTGTGGTTATAATTACAGGTCATATCTCATCTAAAGACATTCCATAGAACTTTGAAAATAAGTATATTTTATAAATGATTAACTCCAGAATGATCAGGTAAAGATCAGGGTACCTCTGGCTTAAAAGGACAAAAAGAGAGTTGGAGAAGTCAACAGAAAAAGACATAATAGTAGACGTTAAAGAAAACAAAAATAGATTCATAATGAGGAAAATCCTTCTTATAGATTCAGCAGTTACCAATGGAATGGGCTGCCCACCCCACCACTTTGTCAGCAGGAGTAACACTCTGAAGGCTCCTGGGCAAAGTGTCCTGATACATTCTGAAAAGAGCACCAGGCCTCACTTGGCCAACTAAACAGTTGTGTGGTTTTTTTTAGTGCTTACCTAGTAAAAGCCCTGACAAAAATAAGGAGTGTAAGGGTACAATGTTTTTTATGCTGTTTAAAATAGCATAAAAATTGAGGAACTATAATATTTCAAACTATACATTTACTATATTCAGTTATTTTTAATGTCTAGCCAAATAATTTTGAAGCGTGCTAATGAAACTTCAAAATCTTAAGTAACACTCATTTCCCATTATATTAGGAGGAGGAATTTACTGGAACTGCCCCAGATAGGCCAGCCTGAACCCTTGCTTTTGCCAGCCAACACTTTCCATTACTCTGTTGTCTTTTCCTGTGACAGAATGACAATTCCATCAGTGGAAGAAAATTTCCCAAAAGGTCAGTAGGGAGAGCAGAAAACGACTGACACAGCTTCTGGGCTCCACAAAGAAATGTTGACGATAAAGTTTTGCTCAGAGATATTACTATGGCTGAATATTATGACATGTCATTATTAATCTTGCTTTGGGCCTATGCTGGGACTTGTTCACTTTCTAGTGTTACAAGCAGAGACTGGCTTTTAATTCATAAGCAAATTTCATTGTAAATATAAAAACACAGTAATGATGATGATGTAACTCAGGTGTGGGTTAAGGATGCCAAACAGAAGAATTTAAATCAGAGAGACCTATGTATTGGGTCAAATTAGACCACACATGAAAAATGTATTATTTCCCTGTTAATTGGGTAAAACAGAAAACATAAAAAAAGGATTTAAATTAAAAAGATGATGGCAGCCGAACCGGTTTGGCTCAGTGGATAGAGCGTCGGCCTGCAGACTCAAGGGTCCCAGGTTCGATTCTGGTCAAGGGCATGCACCTTGGTTGTGGGCACATCCCTACTGGGGGGCGTGCAGGAGGCAGCTGGTTGATCTCTCTCATCGATGTTTCTAACTCTCTATCCCTCTCCCTTCTTCTCTGTAAAAAATCAATAAAATATATTTTAAAAAAATAAAAATAAAAATAAAATAAAAAGATGATGGCAAGCAATTGGTAAGTCTCAACCTCATTTATGTCTCACATTTGGATACAATCCAGGTTTTTAAAGTAATCATATCAGCCGGAGGATTTTAGGGCTGGGAATTGCAATGATTTGTGACATAAAGGTTCAACTGGAATCTGCTCCTGGAATCTTAGGAGGCTTTGTCTTGCTTGGGAAAATTTGCCATGGAGTTGCTGATGCCTTCATTTCATTGGAAATTGACACAGTCTCAAAGCAGACTAAAACTGACATAAGCTTGAAATTGTCTTGGTTTCAGATTTAACTTTATTCAGTTTAACATTGTATCTAATAATGACTGACAAGAGAGTAGGGCCATGTTTACATGAGTAAAATTAAGTTCCAAATGTCTACAAGTTCTACTAGCCATATAGGTAAGAGGCCCATTTGTAACTAAAATTAACTCTGACATCAAGACACGAAAATGTACGAGTGGAACATTTATATTGAGGAAGTTCAAAGCTGCTCCATCTCATGGGTCTGGAATGGAATGGCTAATAGCATTTGGGTTTTGCTTTATCAGACATATCCTCATGTATGTTTTGTTTGTTTGTTTCAATCCTGCAAAGCAGTCAAAATGATAAGATAGTAACAATAGTAAAAATAAAATAATAGGGTTGAAGAAGAATCCCTATTGAAGAAAACCGCCCCGCAAAATTTGATTAATTAAATCACAGTTCTCATTTCTATTTTTTTCTTTCAGTTGCTTCTCTATTTTCAGACAGAACACTGCAAAAATCACTGATGAAGTAATGCTCCAGGCCTCATAACTATCCTTAATTAATTAATTAATTAATTTATTTATTTATTTTAATCCTCACCTGAGGATATATTTTCCATTGATTTTTAGAGAGAGTGAAAGGAAGGGAGGAGTAGGGAAAAGACAAAGAGAGAAAGAGAAACTCACATCGACGGATTGCCTCCCACATGCATCCCTGCCAGTGCCAGGGATCAAACCTGCAGACCAAGGTACATGCCCTTGGCAGTGAATTGAACCTGAGAAGCATTGGTCCATGGCCGGTGTTCTAACCACTTAACAAAACTGGCCAGGGCACACACCCAGCCTTTATTGTGTATACGCTTTGCTCCAAGGTCATTAATCTCCTCCCCACCTCAAAATAACGAAACTCATTTTCTTCTGCTCCCGTAACTTCCACTTCAGTTTCTAAAACACTTATAGGGTCAGGACTAGTGAAATCTGCAGCTTTCCTTTTTGAGCCTTACTTGTTCAACAACACAATGGAGTTTCCATAAACAAAGAAAAGAGAGGAAGTACAAACAGTTACCAAACAAAGCCTGTTATGGCCACAATGCAGAGGCCTTCATGGGCTCCTGTTCGTTTTAACTCATCTCCTAAGCCTAGACAGCATCATCTGTTCATATATTTGTTCTTGCAGTTAACCCAAACTCTCCTCAGGTTTTGAAATTATAAATAAATAAACTATTATGTTCCCCCTTCATCTATCCATTCATTCATTCGTTAGCTTTCCAAACATTAATTGAATGCCGCCCTCCCGCCCCCCCCCCCCCACACACACACACGCCCCGGTAATTGCTAAGTACTGGGGCTAGGGATCAAGATGAAGAGATGGCTAAGATGTTGTCCTCAAAGAGAATTCAGGCACCCAATGATTTTGGTAAAGTAAAAGACATTTAACCACCAACTTAAGGAGATGTTCTGCCAACCTCCCAGGACCAGAACAATGCCTAAGGCAGGTAACTTTGTGCCAGTGACAGCATCCTGTCAGCAGGTTTCCCATGAGCCACCTGCTTTGTTGAGAGCTTGGGTGAATTCCTGTAAGCATGTCTGTAAAGCCACTGCAACTCTTTAGCATTGCCATTCTGTGGACCAGTAGCCATGTACTCAGGAAGCTTAGGGCACTGGTGCCATGGTTGCTTCAATAATCATCATAGGAGCCATCGTGGCTTATTAAAGTCCTAAGACACAGAACACACACTTTTCATGGCTGCTCTAGAATCACTTTAGCATCTGGCACTTCTGTAAGGTAATCATGTTAAAAACAAAACAAAACAACAACAAAAAACCCCTCTAAATACTGTACAAGGGTGTTACTGCCTTCCCTCAGTCTTTGCCTTTTCCTTTGCTCATTTGCATCCAACTTAACCTTCCTGGCCAACCTCAAGCCTCTTATCCATCTTCCCTGACCAGGGTGTGCTGCATCACCTACGGCACTTTAACTGGCATGTGAAAGTCCTGGTCGCAGCTACCCTTTAAGTTTCTTTTTGATAACTGGACCTAGGCTTTGTGTCCCAGGGCACCTCACACAAATCCTGCTCACAGCAAAATGGTCAATAAATGAGGCTATGCAAAATAAATGAGCATCATAGGAGATAAATGTATTTTCATGACAAAGGTTAATATTGCCTTCGATAAATGATTTTTCCTCTCTTAAAAACTAATCTGATATTATTTTTGAATGTCTAAAATGTGTGAAATGAATAAAAAGATATGTAATCTTCTAGTGCATCCATCATTTGATTGTGATTGTTGATATTCAGAGACAGGCAGTCAGTATAGACTTTGGGTAGAAAGTTGAATATTTTGTACAACAAATAATTAGTAGCAATGAGATAGGTGCTTTTTTTTTAATGTTAAACTTACTAGTTTTCTTCCCCACTGCTTCAAGAACCTGTATTTTGCTAAGCAATTTATCGTATGATTGTTCAGTTCTTTCATTATTAAGTCATTTAATTAACACGTGCTTATTGAGGGTTTGTTACATGTGAGGAGTCACTC